ATGTGTATTTTTTGTATAGTACGCAAATACTCAGGATATCATTTCTTCTTTGTGAAAATATTTCAAATTCTACTTTTTGGGGAAATATACACCACATAATCATTATGTGTTGTCACTTTACTGTGGAACAGAGCACAGTGATTTATTTCTTCCATGTAACTGGAACTTAGTTCCACTTGAGCAATCTTTCTCATTTTCTCTCCCTTCTACTCTCCTCAGCCTTTTGGATCAGCTATTCTATTCTCAACTTCTATGAGATCACGTTTTAAGATTCCACATATAAGTGATACTATGTCATACTTGACTTTCTGTGCCTGGCTTATTTCATATAACACAATGTCTTCTGTTTCTAGCCATATAGTTGCAAGATTATTATTTTTATGCCTGAATGTACTCCACCAAATTTATGTATCCCATTTTTTTGTCCATTCATCAGCTGATTTCTTGGCTATTGTGAATAGTGTTTCAGTAGACAAGCAAGGCGTGCTGATGTCCCCTTGACATGATGATTTCATTTCCTTTGGATGTATGCTTAATAGTAGGATTGCTGGATCATAGAGTAGTTCTGTGTCTATAGCAATCACAGAGTAGTGTATTTGAAGTCAAATATTTTAATGTCTCCTTTATACTCTTTTCCATAATGACTGCACTAATTTACAATCCCAAAGTGTAAAAGGATTCCTTTTTTCACACCCTAGCACTTGTTATCTTTGTGTTTTTGAGAAGAGTCATTTTACTCTGTGAAAGCTAATATTTAATTGTGATTTTGACTTGCATTTCTCTGGTGATTATTGATGTTGAGCATTTAGTTCAAATGCCTGTTGGTTATTTGCATGTCTTCTTTTGAGTAATGTCTTCCTGTTTTTAGGTTTATTGCTTATTTTAAAATTGAATGATGTTCTTATATGTCTGTATTTGTTTAACTGAGTAATCAATATGAAGAAAACAGTATATAATATAATACCCATTGTTAATTTCTTTTCACCCTGTCTGAAATTCTCTACTGTTTTTATTGTCATTATGTTGTTTTGTTTATGTCTGTGTGTTTGTTAATATGTTGTGGTTCTTTTATCTCTAAAAATAAAATTTAAAAAAATTGAACTATGATGATGATTATAATGACAATTTTGCTATTGGGTAGAGTTTCTGATGCATCCTGAGTATTAACCCTATATCTGTGTAGAATTTGCAATTATTTTCTTCTTTTGTATGTTTACTCTCTTCCTTTCATTAATTGTTTCTTTTTCTGCACATTCTGATATAATCCCATTTGTCTCATGTTTTACTTGCCTGTACTTGGGTGGAGGAGCTTATCCAGACAGTCCTTGCCCATTCCAACATCCTGAAGTGTTTTTCCTATGTTTCCTTTAGTAGTTTTATGTCTTAACTTAAAACCTTAATTCATTTTGAGTTCATTTTTGTGTTGAAATATTGGGATATAGTTTCATTCTACTGTATATGGACATCTAGTTTTCTCAACAGCGTTTGTTGAAGAAACTATTCTTTCCCCCAGTATATGTTCTTTCCCCCAGTATATATCCTTACTTTCTAAATTTTTTAATAACTTGAAAATAATTGCTATTATTTCTTTAAATGTTTGGTAGAATTCAGCAGTGAAGAAATCTCATTCTGAGATTTTCTTTTATTATTGATTCAGTTTTATTAGTCAACATTGGTTTGTTCATATTTTTTAGTTTTTGTAGTTCAGTTTTGCCAAGGTAAATGCAGCCAGGAATTTGTTAATTTCTTCTAGGTTATCAAATTTGTTGGCATACAGTTGTCAAAAGTAATCTCTAAAGATCCTTTTCATTTCTGTGGTGTGAGGTGATGTCTCCCTTTTCATCTCTAATTTTGAGTCTTCCTTTTTTTCTTTATCTATGGGTAAGTTTACTTTTGCTTGTTTTAAAAAAATCAAGCCTTCATTTTGTTGAGTTTTGTATTGTTTCAATGTCTATTTATTTCATTTATTGTTTTCTGCTCTTTATTATTTCTTTTCTTCTGTTACTTTTAGCTCTTTTTCTTAAGTTTTACTTCTCTGAGGTACAACAATAGGGCATTTATTTGAGATATTTCTGCTTTTTTGATACAGGACAAAGGTATAGGCCAGTACTCACAGTGCACAAATTCTCAACAAAATATTAGCAAACCAAATTCAAGAGCATATTAAAACAGATGTTTATAATGATTATGTGAGGTTCACCCCAGGAATGCAAGAATGGTTCAACATGTGCAAATCAATAAATTTCTCTTAGTGCACCTCTTGTTACATCTACTAGGTTTTGATATGTGGTTTCTACCATCATTTGGAAATTGTAGTTTCAAAATTTTAGTTTTCCTTCTTAATTTTCTTTTCATTGGTTGTTTAGGAGTGTGTTGTTTAATTTCCATGTATTATTATATTGCCCAAAGTTTCTCCTGTTACTGATTTCTATTGCATTGTGTTAAAGAAAGATAATTGTTATGATTTTGTTTTAAATAAGTTGTTGACTTTTTTTGGCCTACTATGTGGTCTATTCTAAAGCATGCTCCTTGTTCTGCTGAGAGGAATGTGTATTCTGCAGTTGTTAGATGGAATATTCTGTAGATATCTCTTAGGTTCATTTGGTCTACAATGCAATTTAACTTTGTTGTTTCTTTGTTGATATTCTGTTTGTATGATCTGTCTATTCCCAAAAGTGAGTGTTCAAGTACCTTGCTATTATTGCCTTGTAGCTTGTCTCTCCCTTTAGGCCTATTAATACTTCATATGTTTGGATGCTTTGATATTTGGTGCATATATATTTAGAATTGCTATTTCTTCTTGGTAAACTGTTTCCTTCCTTCATCATTATAGAGGCACCTTCTTTGTTTCTACTGCTTTTTCTATTTTATATGGTATAGGTGTGGCTATGACTACTCTCTTTTGGATTCCATTTGCATAGATTATCTTTTCTCACACCTTTATTTCAATCTATGCCTGTAATTAGAACTGAAGTGAGTTTCCTATAAGCAGTATATAGTTCTATCTGTATTTTAATCTATTCAGTCACTCTGTGTCATTTAACTGGAAAATTTAATCTGTTTGCTTCTAGGATAAGTGTCATTAAATTAGATCTTACTACTGCCATTTTGATTTGATAACATAGGCTTCTTCTTGGCACTGGGTCTTACTGTGGAGGGTCCAGTAATGACTTGTGCCTGTCTCCCACTTCTTTCCCCACTGGACAGTAAGTGCCTGTGTTGTTCTGCCTAGGGTTGTACAAGAGATGGGGTTGGCAGTCCTGTGGCCACCATGACTGCCTGAATGCTAGTGCACTCTAGGAGCCCACAGCCCAATGAGACTTGTGCAGTACAGGGGCAATTCCAACACCCATGTTGCTGTGGTTTGCCTGCTGTTGTCTCTTCATAGTGCATGACCACTGCAACTGGCTGAAAGTGATATGGACTGAAATACAAGTCTATTGTACTGGGGCAAGCTTAGATCCATAGATTTTATGAGGTCAGTGGCCTGGAGGTAGGGGCTGTAGGACTCTGCCAAGTACTAGGCTTCACTGTGGTGGGACTGGTTTTGGGATTCAGGTCAAAGACCTGCACTTAGTTCCCTGTCCCTCCCTAAAGTGGGAGATATCTCTCCATACTGTGGTGCTCAGAGTTGAAGGAGGGATAACATAGCTCTTTCCTCCAAATGTTCTTCAGTGCATCTTTTTTATTATTGTGATAAAGACCAGGTACTGTGACTTTTATGGTTTCTTTAGCTCTTAAAAATACTCTCATGAATGAATAGTTATTCAAATTGATATATCATTGGGATTCTATTTCTGCAGGTCTGACTGCACTGTTTTGTTCCATTTCTCCATTATTAAAAATACCCTTTTAACTTACTATTGAAAGAATACTCATAGCAGAAACAATCTTTCATGTTAAACCATAGTTCAATAATATTGACTACAATTCTGTTCTTTTTTTAGTTCTTTTTATTTGAAATAATTTTTTAATTTTAATTTTTTTTATTTTAAAGAGAAAAGAATGAAAACAAAATAACAAAAACAAAGACAAAAACAAAACAACACAAAAACTATAAAAATGATACGGAATTTCAAAAGAAGATGATAGGAAATCAGCAATGGTTGTTGTATTACTTACGGTTATCTTCAAAGTAGTTGCTCATATTACCAGATATAGGTATGCAAGATTGATCAAACAATTAAACATTAACTATTACTTTCAATAAACTAATAGAAATTAGTAGTACAATTATTTTAGCTATTTTTTGTGTATATATATATATTTGTGTGTGTATATATATATATAATATATATATATATAAAATATATATATCCCTTCCTTCTTTCTTTCTTTTCTCCTTTCCCTCATCCCAGTTGTTCTTTCCTGTTCACAATATCTATTGTACCTTTTGGTTTTATTTATTCTTTCAGGTTATTACACTAGGGAGACAATATGGTGTTTACACATGCAGATCTGATTTATTTCGCTTATGAGTATGGTCTGTAGTTGCATCCATTTACCTATGAAAGCCTCAAGTTTATCTTTCTTTATAGCTGGGTAATACTCCATTGTATACATAATGTCATAGCAAAATCTTGGAAACAACCCAAATGCCCATCAATTGAGGAGTAGATTAGAAAAATTCTGTTCTTTTTATAGTACCTGTTACACACACCCACACATGGTTCCAGGTTTGTAGAATCAACTTGTTCTGTGGCTCATGAAAACTTACTGTCATATATCATCTTCAGGAATTATATGCTTCTTGATGTCACACTAGTGATTTGGAATTTCTTATGGTGATAGCATTTATACCATGAAAATTGGAAAATTCTGCAAGTGAATGCTTTTTCCTTTATTTTTTAGAGAGTCAGTTATTAAATGCTTATTACCTTGCCTTTATCCCTGAACATCTATTTTAATAAAAAGAAGTTATTAGTTTTATATTTGATCTTTGGATGGAAGTTAACATGAAAGAAACATAAACTAATTGTTTTTTTCCCCTGTGTTTTCAGGGATACGGAAAGACCGAAGAGGAGGGAGAATGTTGAAATACAAGCGACAGAGAGATGATGAGGAGAGGAGGAATGAGATGGGGCCTTCTGGAGACATGAGAGCTTCTAACCTTTGGCCAAGCCCTCTTGTAATTAAGCACACCAAGAAGAACAGCCCAGCCTTGTCCTTGACAGCTGATCAGATGGTCAGTGCCTTGATGGAGGCTGAGCCCCCCTTACTCTATTCTGAGTATGATCCCACCAAACCCTTCAGTGAAGCTTCCATGATGGGCTTATTGACCAACCTGGCAGACAGGGAGCTGGTTCACATGATCAACTGGGCAAAGAGGGTACCAGGTAAGAACGCTAAGCTCAACTTTTAAGAGTCAATAACTTTGAAGAACTTGTGATGTCATGGGGAGAAGTAGCGGGTGGGGGCATTGCCTTATTATCTAATTAATTTTAAGGTTCTACCAAGATTTATTAATTTTCAGTATCAACATATTGTAATTTTCCTAGAATTTCAGAAATAACATTTTAAAATCAAAATCTAGAATACTAAAATATTTCACTTGACATAACATATTTAACCCATTTTATTTGCAAAACAGATCTGGAGCAGACACTACATGACACATATATTATGTATTATATGTGCATAGCATCAGAAGTGTTTGATACTAAGTAATCTACAAAGGTTTTTGGTATTGAGGACTATTGTTTAAACTATCTCAATTATTAATAAACAATTTTTTCTTGAAAGATCTTTTCTTTAGAGATTTTGATAAAGAAATGAGCTAATAATAGGTTTACTTGTTGAATGTCAAATATTTTTCCAACATAGCCTGAACATAGTATCTGAAGAGAAACGAAAATTCAATACAAGTAAATGAAAGAGCATCAGTCCTGAGAGGAACTTAGGAAAGATCAGTGGTTGAAATGATACTTCGGTCTCTCTGTGAATTCTCTCAGAAGTGGTGTTTTTGTAAAATTGAACTGTTGCTCTTGTTCATGGAGAAGAACTCTAGTTCTTACAGAAATAAGACTCTTCCATGCCAAAATATCCATTATGCATAACCAAGAGCTTGTACTAAGGCAAGAGGAAGTTAAATCTCTTTTGTGGAGTTATTTATCAGATGAGTAGTGGATTTTAAAAGAGAATTTTTCATTTGGTTTCTTTCAGGAGATGACACTATTACTGAGCAAGCATGGATGTTTTCTTATAAAACTGAAAAATAAAGAGTTTTATACTTTCATTTCCAGGGTCACTGATATGTTATAGGCTGAGCAAACATATGTCATAGGCTGAGCAAACGTAGGTCTGGCGTTAGAGATTCTCAGAGGTATTTGCTTATATCAACATATCAATATGTGGTCATTTGAATAAGGAGCCAGGAGTCCTGTGATCTAGACATTTTAGAGGGTGTCCATTCAGGTGATTTGGGTGGTGGAGACTGGGTTACATGGAAATGTGGAGATTAATGAGAAGATTTTGGATTTTTAGGGTCAGTCCAACTGGCAAACAAAGACTCCTGGCCATCTTTGGAATTAAGAGTTTTATTGAGCATCTGCACGTGTCTTATGTAAATAGCTACATTATACATAAACTGGGATCTGGTTATTATGGGATAATAGGTCTTTCCTTCATGTTTATGTTTGTTATTACCTTGTTTTTATGCTTTGGGAGAAGAAAAAAATAAATGTACAAAAAACTAGTGGCCACATTCCTGACAGGCAATTCTGGGTTATAGTTAAGTTTTATTCTCCTATAAGCATGTATTTTTCTTTATGAAATTTTGGTAATATTAGTTTCAGAGCATTGCTGAACTCAAGTATAACATTTTCTTGCTTATCAGTAGATTCCCACCATGGCATTTTTATAAATATAAAAATTTAAATGGAATTTTAAACAACTGGAATTAAATTCAAATATATCACCAGTCAATGGAGAATTCATAGCAATAATCTTCTGAATTTAGAAATAAAATGGAGACAGAAATCAAAGGAAAGAAAAATATTATGTCCACGTGTAACCATGTTAAACCCATAATCAAACAAACTGATAGTAATGATCTATGTAGGGAAACTACTTTATAACTTTGTTAATTCAAAAGACTTGAGTGGCTCAACTCCTTAGACCAAACTATATTTCATTAGTTGATCATTAAAAGAAAGAAATATAGAGGTAAAAATGAAGTTATGTATAGTCATGAACCTCTTGACGATGTATTTGTTAGCAGCAGAGGTCAGAGGTGATGTTGATTCTGTAAGATTGTGTTGCCTTGTGGTAGAGCAGCCATCTTAATTCATGCATGCTGCAGTGTTCACAAAATGACAAAATCACCTAAGGGCTCACTTCTCAGAAGGTATTCCTGTTGTTAAGTAACTCATGGTTTTGTGAGTGTGTGTGTGTGTGTGTGTGCACGTGTGCACGCATGCTACCGCAGGCACGTGGGTGTGTTTGCGCACATGGTGGTATGTGTGTGTATATCACCACTGGAATATAACTGTTGCAAGTCAAAGCCTTTTTGTCAGATCAAGCTGAATGAAATCTTCATTGATTTTAAAAGGATGAAAATGAGGAAAGAGAAAAATCTAGAAGAACTCTGAAGATGATTGTCAAGGTTTTCATTACCTTTTAAAAAGTTTTTATATATCCGTATATCATCTGTCATCTTAAGAAAAGCTCTCACTGAAAATTTCATATCAATGTTATATTTATGTGCTAATAATTTGAAGATAACAATAATACTTTTGCAAAGTAGAAATAATAAATGTTATTAGTAAGAAGAGCAAAAAAAAAAAAAAAAAAAAAAAGAAATTTTGCAGGTACCTGGAACCTAAAATCAGCTCTATATCACTTCTGTGATACAAAACCTGTGTGGGACATTCTTTAGAATGGCTATTAACATAACAAAAACTGTGAATTAACTTCATTTTGAGTGATGAATTTTAGTAAGTATAATCAATATCTTGGACTATTTCATAGTTCTAGAATTTTTTTTCCTTAGAGACTATTGTCAGAATTTTCAAGTGTTATTGATCATAAATTGAAGTTGCCCTTGCCTTAACATCTGGGTGTCGTATTTGACTTGATAGCTCTCTTTACTACAAATAAAGAAGAGATGTAGAATAAAATATATCATAAAGTGTGATAGTCAAGTTCTAAACTTATAAAGAACTTATGTTAGATCTGGCTAACAGGGCTGGGGATATAGCTCAGCAGCACAAGCGCCTGCCTGGCAAGTGCAAAGCCCTGAGTTCAATTCGTAGCAAAAACAAAAAACCAAAACCAAAAAAGATGCTAATGATGGTATCAAGAAATTATTTTTTTCTTTTCTAATTTAAAAAGAATAGTAGCAACAATGATGATAAAATCTACCTAATGAGTTCTGCAAAAGATGTTTTTAAAAAATCTCGTAATATCTGCACATATCTAGCTATAGAGGTAGTTTTATTGTTTGCTCTGAGTTTACTAATCTTTGACAGGCACTTTATCATCCATCCATAAATGGAGATTTACTTTTAAAGGAACTATATTATAAATCTTCATTTACTAGTATTCTACATAAAAAGAAACTAGTCCATAAATGTACCATTATTTAGCTATAGGTCAAAAAGAAAAAAAATACAACTTCAGAGTTGTTACATTTTAAAAATCACTATCGCACTCAGTTACATCACTAAGTGGATTCTTTGGTTTAATATTCAGGAAATATACCTGATGTTTTTCACCAGAGAGATACCGCGGTCACTTGCATTTGGCACCGCTGTTTGCTTTTTTATTATTATTTTAAAAGTAAAAGGAGGAAAACATTAACAGACAGACAACCTTTTACAAAATAGCAAAAGAACAGTACAGACAATACAGAGTGACAAACAAAGTGGTAGGAAATTAACAATGCTTGTTGTATGACATATTGATATCTTCAAAGTGGTTTCTCCTGAAAACAGATAGAGACATGCAATATTGATCAATCAAGGACTCATTGACAGTTTCTTTCAGCAAAGAAATAGAAGACAGTAGAACAACTATGTTAGCTATCCTGTATATACATACATACAACATTTCTCCTTCTTTCCCTTCTCTTTTCCCGCATCCCAGTTGTGTGCTGGAAACCTGGCCCAGGGCCAGAGAGTAGAGGACAAGTGGCTGTGGAGATTGGTCCCACAGGAAACTTCCTCATTCTTTTAGTGGCAATTTAGTAATGTCTGTCCCCTCCCTTTTCTGCCAGTCCTTTTCTCCTCAGTGCTGGAGGTGTCCTGACTCCCCACCCCTTCCTCTGCATTACCTCCTGGCTCAGTTTGGCCTACTGGTAGAAGATTCCCTTTTTTTGCGTGTGCTTCCTACCAGCCGCAGGCTCAGGGCTTCAGCAGTTTGGCGTTGTCCTTAAGAGTGCTTGTTTTTCTGGGCTCAAGGCTGCTTCTGCTCCGGTATTGTCAAGGTATCCAGTGCTTAGCTTCCATAACTCTGAATCACATCCACATCATTCAAACTTACCGATAAACAGAGCTCAGGAAAGACTTGAATAAAGACCAAAGAAAAAGGACTTTTGGAACTCCTAATGTTAAGAAATCCAAGCCCTACCAAACCTCAAATTTTCCCCTCAATTAGAACTGTTCTTTAAGGCTGTGCTGGTCCTCTTTTCACCTCTGTTCAGAACCCACCTGCTGTTCTGCCCTCATGCTGGCAGCTGCCTTAGTGAGATTCCATAGCCAGCCTTTCTTTTGTAAGGGGCAGAGAGGTGTGGAAAGGAGTGTGCACACTCAGACTCGGGACCTTCACAGCCTTCTGCTTTCTGTCAGCAGGTCAGTTTGTGTGGTGTCATCTCAAGTGAATAAGGACAAGAGGGCAGGAGAGGGCACAATGCCTCTGTCTGGAACTTGGAAGCATCTTCAAGGAACACATTCTATTCTGGGAGATTCCAGGGACTTGGCAGGGCTGCCTGGTACTCTGCTTCCCAAATATAATCAGCCCAGTGGAGTCTGCTCTCTGGCTGTGGTGGTGAATCCTCAAAAGCAATGCTTTGATATGGCACCGCAATGAGGAACTTGACATAGAAGTCTGGGTGACAGCCTAGAGACGTGATAGATGCATGTGTTTAAAGCAAGATTTGCTGTTTAGACTTTGCAACCATTGTACTGTCAGGGCCTCAGCACTGGGCCAGAATCACCCCAGCACGTATAGGGGCCGCCTTTGGACTGTAGTTCACAGCTTCCTTGGGAGTGCTCAGCCCTGCCAGGCCTCCCACTGCTCCTGCAAAAGCTCTGGGGGAAATGCAAGGAAAGCAGCTACTTGTTGGATTTTTCTTGTGTGTGCAATATTATTTGACAAGTGTGTTCTATTCATCCAGGCC